AACCAATACTTGTGGTATACCTATGAACATAATATTATTCAGGAGGGTAATTATTTCAAAATGTTGCATTGGTTTTAAACAAATTTACCGATATTTAACTACAGTCAGAGTATAGCTCTCAAAATAGGTATCTTCTAATTTTAAAATTGTTTTTAAACATAACAACATTTTAATAATTTATCACTTTTTCTCTAATATAAATGAAAATGAGTAGGTAGATACATAAAGAAAAATATTATCAAAACATTGATGTAGTTCATGTGATGCAAAATGCTGAATTGTATCCCGCAAATGACGCCCCTGATATTATTATTGTTTTAATATAAGAACAACATACTTACATAATAAATAATAATTATCAAATAGCGTACGTAGCTACTAATAATATGTAAAAACTATAATTCCACGATAACCGAGAGGTTAAGTGCCTATATACTGCAGACAATCCATAATTATCGATTATTTGTCGGTTATATTTAGTGATGATCAAAACAAGACCAAGACCAAGACTTTCAAAATCTTGGTCTTGGTCTTGGTCTTGCAGACTCAGTCTTGGTCTTGGTCTTGGTCTTGCACAAGACTCTTGCAAGACTCTTGCTATTTTCACAAAATATATTAAAAAAAAACTAAATACCTGTTATAGCTGTGTGTAGGTTTTTTGCTATGATCACTAAGATGAAACTTAGTCCAATATATTACATAGTATATTCATAAATCAAACATTAACATAAAACAAGTCAAACAATTTAATTTTTATTATAGGTACTCGTTTAAAACTTTGCATTTTAAATTATGCTTGTTTTATTTTACTTGTATGAATCAATTTACCAGCATAATTAACTTTCTAAGTTCCTATTGCATTTATAATAAATATCAATAGGTTATTACTAATTGCTAATTACTAGTTATTGACCAAAATAATGTTTATAAAAATTAAATTGTTGTTTTTTTAATGTTCACTTTAACTAATAATAATATTTAAAAAAACTGTATGGTTTGTTCCAAATATTAAATTGCTTAATAATTATATTAATTGTTATAATGATAATATTTATTATTTATAATTAAACTTTTATTCTTCTTTTATTCACCAGTGTCCAGTACAGTAGTACTAAATGTTTAAGTTTCTTTTAATATAATATAATATTGGCAATAAACCATTTCTGTAAATCTTATTAGGTACCTACATTTTATTTTTACATTCGACGTTTTATCGATTTTGGGAAAATAAAATAATTTTTCAGTAATTGTTAATTAGTATATGAAACAACTATGTTATTTTGTAATATTAATTCTCATTATATTTTTAATCTTTTTTTCAATAATTCGTCATTTCCTCGAATATAGGTACTGATAAAATTTCATAACAATACAAATAAATTCTTATTATTTTCGTTATAAATTATTAGTTAATGGAATCTAGATAGGTACACTAATGTGTTTTTGGGGAAAAAAAAAATTGCAAGACTGCAAGAGTCTTGCAGTGATGGTCTTGTTTTAGTCTTGGTCTTGCAGCTTCTGTATTGGTTTGGTCTTGTTCTTGCAAGCCTAATCTTGGTCTTGGTCTTGCTAGACCAGTACCGTCTTGGTCTTGGTCTTGGTCTTGCAGCAAGAGTCTTGCGAGACCGCAAGACCAAGACCAATTTTGATCATCACTAGTTATATTATTTTCTACACCTATGTTGCCACTCGGTCTTTAATTTTTCCTCTAACCAATATTTTTTTTTTCTAGTCCGGGAAACCGATTTTTCACACATTGATCTTGCCGTAGGCATAATGTTGTGTCCGTTCGCTTTGTCCGATAAATATATAATATATAATAATATGTATTTTATCGTGCGTCAAACTACCGACGGAGTTTAAACCGTCGTCGGTATAAAGTGGTATATCACACGGCACGCGATGAACGATTGTGAATGTTCACCGACACAAAAAAAAAAAAAAAAATGTATTTTTTTGTCTGAAAAAAAAACTCAAGTTCATTCGTGTAGGCATAATAATATGCGCCGTGTAAATAGTAGTTACGTGTAATCTCGCCGACGGCATGGATGGAACTCAATGTAGTATTGTAGTGCCCGTCGCAGTATTTTGTTAAATAATATATAATATAGATTATAGGTATATATGTGTAGTATATATATTATTACGAAAAATGTTAATCGGTACACATTAGTGCGCTTTAATGTCAATTTACAAGAGCGTTTTTTACGATAATAATCAGTTCACGCCAGTGTGTTTATTACTTTTCAATCAATTATAAGTGGATTATATTGTATTTACCGATCACGGTGATAGCATAATATGATGGTAATTGGATATGTATGTGTACCTACAATTATTCAGGCGATAAATCTCAAATTAAAATACCCGCTCCGGTTTAATACTTGTCAATAATTATCATGTACCTAAACAGATTGCATTTATGTATTATTTTTAAAACTGTTATTATAGTTCGTAATATATAGATTAATATTCATTTCACATAATGTTGGCGAGCTAACCGAATTAATACAGGTACACCGTAATAAGATACACGTTTGTAAATACGTAGGTATAATGCGTTATATAATAATAATAGAATAGTAGTCGTATATATGCCATTAAATATGGAACACTCATTGCAGACAAATTATAAGTGGAGTTATTATGTATTTACACAAGACGATTGAAAAAAATTGCCAAACAAATTGCACGCGGATTCATTATTAATAATATTATCGATACGTACTAAACAAAATATCGCCGTTCATCGATTGTGCACGGGCTGCCGCACATCGATCTATCATTACTCTTTAATATTATAATATTATACTATTATATTATGCATTGTTTTATCACGTACCTCGGGCCGGCCGTGTATACAGCTCGCACGAGTTCACGATAAAACGCAAATCGTACAGAAAGGCAAAATATAATTTATACATACATACATATATACGCTCCGATTGTTTTTACTATTTGTTCGGTGAAAACTTTTCCATTTGGATGTTTATTACGTACCATAAACATCTCTAGAACGCTCACGAATCACGATAATATTCCCGGAATCATTTTCTGTAGATGGAAAAATGCCTAAACACGCATTTCTGTATAATAATATATTTTCGTCAATATAATAATAATAATACGCGAGATGACGTTATTCGCGACATTTGCAAATAATATCGTTATCTATTTAATACCCTTCGATATTTGTTTTGCATTTTTTTTACAAACATGAAAAAAAACACAAATTCAATTTTTATACAAAAAGTTCCGAGAACTCCAATGTTTCAATTTAAAAATGTATTTTTATTTAAAAAGTTTAAGCAACTATACTATGTCTACAAACGTAAAATGGCACAAAAAAAGTAGTACTACATTTTTTAAATTTAATCCAAAAGTGTTAACAATTGCATAATTTATAACGTCGTAAAAGTGGAGGCCAATTTTGACTTTTGCCCAGGGATTCTCAAATGTTTTACTTCACAGCATACCCATTTATTGTGATTTATGTTTATAAACGAATAAATACATAAATAAAATAAATAGAATAAAACTATAATGTATGAGTTATTGTTGGTATTTGACTTTATCAAAAAAATTCTCGAATCTATATTATATTAATGTCACCGATGTAGTGTCGTAGTAATGTGTTTTATTTTAACCTATGTATAAAGCTTAAACTGTTTGACGTTCAGACACATTACCTACATTATAATTTAATTAACCTTTTCCATACTTGTACTTAAATAGTGTTCCAAACAAAAATTGTTTGCGAAGTGAATATTTATTAGTTGTATACGTTTTACAAAGCTTATTGTTGGGAAAATGTTGAACACATTACATTATATTGATATTATAATATTTAGAGTAAAAATGAAATGTAAATGAAAAGTACTATACTATCCTTGGATATAAATATGTGTGTTGAGAATTAAATGAAACGAAACATTTATGTATAGAGTAATTTGTCTATAATAATGTGTAACGCTGTTAAACATAAAATACTGTTATTCTTCTCAAACTTGTTCCAACAAACCTGACCCATTTTTAAATGAAATCAAAACTAGCTTAGAAATATTTCTACTATAGTCAAAGTTAAATGGAATTTTAGTTGATGTTCAGAATGCATATAGCTGAATTAGATGAGTTATTGTCCTGACGTAGAAAAAGTGGTATTTCAAAATAATGCTATTGAAACAATTGTTATATTTTTCCCAAAGTCATTGGTTCGTGATATCTAGCTAATGCGTCGTACCTAATAGGTGTTCATTTTTTTTCCTTTTTTTTTTCGATTAGGTAATTTTTTACTCTTCGTATAACATAAAAGGTATGTCGTACCTACTACCTATACATTATAATACTATGCACGGGTCGCAGGCCAGAAGCCAATGACTTGTATGGCCGGGGGGCTATGCTATTACACGGTGTTTCAAATAAATCAAATTTAAGAAAATACAATAAAGATAAACTATTATTATTATTATTATTATTACGATACTAAGCAGGCGCTTATAATGTAAAACATGGTGTAATTATTATTATATACCAGCGCGACAAACGGAAAACGGTGTACGTATACGGTTACCGTGTGAACTGGCTGAACGTGTAATTATTTTTTTTTTATTTGATATTGTTGTTTTATTATTATTATTACTATTTTTTTATTACGAAAATATTTACAATTTTTATGCGTCTACTGACATATTAACGAGTTCGAAGACATCTAAACGACGTGATTTAAGAACGAGTGGATATTAACTACGTTCACGACTATTACAAGCGTATAATATAGTAAAGTGCAGCCATCTCTTAAATATAGTCGTCCGGGTGAAATTTCTGCTGCAGCCTTATACAGCTGGCACGACTCGGGTGGGCTATGTTATTATTATTTGATGAGATTCGGATCGACGTCTACAATATAATATTATTATGTAGGTGTGAGTTCGATAACGACGATAATAATTATAATAATAATAGTACCTTGAATATATATATAATATAATTCCGACACTCACCTGGCTCTGCAAATCCGATGATCTCTCTGGTGCGGCCGTAAAAATCGTCGGGCTCCGAATCCGCGTCTCTGGTGGTCGGTAACCGTGTACTCGGTGGCAGTGTGTTACCGGCCGCGGCGGCGGCGTCCGGGTCGGCGGCTGTCAGTCCGGACAGCGGTTCGACGGCCAGCGCTTCCACCAGGAACCTCGTCGACCGCGCCTTAGTGATGTTCGGTTTTGCGGTCATGCCCAGCTTGGACAGTATCTGTTCTTTGATCGCCTCTATCCGCTGTTTGTCCAGGCTGGACCTGGCGGCGCTGTCGTAATGCCGCCGGCCCCGCGGACGGTGCTTCCGCCGATGGTGGTGCCGGTTGACACCGGAAGTCGCCGACGACGACGAAGATGACGATGCCGACGACGAAGACGATGACGACGACGAAGACGAGGACGACGAGGACGGTGGCGACGGGAGCGCGCCGGACGCTCGTTTGCACCATGGGCAATGTTGTCGTCTGCCACCTGATGTACCTAAAAAACAAAATAACTAACATTATAATATTATGCGTGATATTATGTTCGTGTTTTAATGATAAAAGCAGAAAAATCTTTCCTGTAATTGTTTAAACAGTGCACCAATAGCACCTAAAATATCCTTAAGTGAAACATTTTCCGCAAAAACGATTGCCGTTAAGTAATCGAATTGATTCCTACAAACTTTTCCGTATACTCGAATACTTAGCTAAAATCTATATTTACAAATTCACTAGGCTTAAATTCTCGTAGATTACTAAATTGTGTCTGGGGTGATATCAAATATTGAAAAATAAATATAATGAAATAATTTAAAAAAAAAAAATTAGAAGATAAGATATCTCTATGAAAAATAGATACATTGAACTAGTTTCGATTTTCATTACAAAAATATCTTTTCTTAATATTCTATATTCTATATGTGATTATTTTTGAAACGAAGTTTTTTATGGCACGATGCGGGGCTAGCCGGGAAAAAAACGTTCCTCACGAAATACTATAATTTATAATATATTAAACAGTTATTTTAGCCAAAACATCCAATTTTTACAATTATTTTAGATTGTGTTCAAATTTTAAAGTAATTGTATGATATTTATTCATAAATCATAATAATTATTTTGTTATTTATTTATTTAGGCAATTTCGTGGAGAGATGTTTCCCAATTTATTGGTGGTCACTTATTAACTGAATAGCTTTATATTATTAACTGACGATAATCTAATGAATACTCAATCTATTTTCCTTATTAGTTATCATACTTATTATTATATTTATCATCTAAACACATTCCAATAGATTATAAACCATTTTACAACATATTGTTATAACGTAACACATTTTATCGTAATGTTACGATTTTGAAAAAAAAAATTAAGTTAGTAGTCATCCAAAAATTGAGATAACTCTTATACTACTTAATTCCAAACATATCAAATTTACTCATAAATGTAATGGAAAACGTAGTCTACTGCAAAGTGTAAGTATATACCTATACTTGCGTACAATAGCTATATTATTATAGTTTACTGCAGATACTATTATTATTGATTCTCGAAATTGTTCTGGCCGATATAAATTGTTATAAATTGCATTACGGAAATCCTAAACCCTCTCAACCATTTGGTAATTAAATACCTAAAAACTTAATAGTAATACACTAATACTTATAACTAAACTATACTAACAATAGAAATCAGAAATAAGTAAAAGTATATATAATAATGTCAACAATCAACCATCAATTTATGAAACTCGATCCGTTTGTTAAGATAAATCACTAAAATACATTATTACGTAGAATATGTATAATAATACATTATTTATAGTATAAAGTAAGAGATATTAAATAATAAAAATTATTTTGAAAAATTTTAGTTAATTTAATATATATAACGTGTATATAATACATTATATTGGTGATCCTATGCATATCATAAAATTATGTATAATAATATTAACTCAAGAAGATTTTAATTAGTAACTGATACAATTTAAATATAATATAATAAGTCAAATTAGGTGGTCTGGGAAAAAGTATTCAATCTCTTTTTGCATTTTACTATCAGTAAAACAAATATTGCATATTGAGTACATAACAAAAATAAAGTTTTGAAACACTGAAAAAATGCCGAAGTGGCAACTTTATAAAAATCATAAGCTATAAATTGTGTTAAAGCTAAAGTTTGATTTACCGTGGATCAAATCAGTGTTCATAAATTCACATACAAGCACACACACTTCAATTCAACAAATAGTGGAATTAATAAAACATAATTATTGATAAATGATTTAAAATAACTATAAAATAGTTATCTACCTACTCTTAATGATTAGTATCAATCTAGTACGAATTCCTACTTAAAACGGCATAAGTACAAACTAAAAATGATCATCCATTTATGAAAGCCAAACGTAAAGTAATTAGTACCTACTTATTACCCTCAGGTTGTCCAGATATGTGATAAGGGATAACTCACGTAGGTACTTATAATAATGCAATCATAACTCAGAATTCACAATAAGCTGATTATTGCTGTTATAACTGCTATAACAGATGGAAGCTTAATTTAAAAGTTTATACCTACTTAAAAAAAATCTGTTTAACGCGTTGATAATAATACAACCAGTAATTTAATTAAAATGTAATAATCATTTTAACAAATTCGTTTCGTTAATTTTAAATTGTATTGTAATCATACTTAGTAAATAAAATAACCATAAAAAAGTACCGTGACTGATGAAAAAATTAAAAATTAAACTCAGTTTTTATTTTTTTAATAAATGCCTCGTGAAATATGCATTTGTATTTTATATTAATATAATAGAGAGGGTAGGAAGGTAAAACTATTTGTTAGTCTGGACATTAATTTTAAGTTTTAACATCTTTACACCCTCCGCTCAGAAACTTTCTACAGATATTTGCTAGTTAACTATATGTTCGAAATTGGATTGTGATACTGTAAATGGTTCATAAAAATAATCTATACTTTATTGTAATATGCACTTAAAATTAGATGTTTCTATTTCGAAAATAAAAGTTGGTATTTCCACTGAACATTATACTACACCAATTATGTTTTGTAAGTATTAAACAAATTTATGAGTACAAAACTTTGAGTATGAAACATTGGTTATTACAAAACTTAAATATTAAACATCACAAAACCATTTAAAGACAGCATCTTTGAAAAAGTATTTTTTATTTTTGTTATGCCAATTATTAATATATAATGTATATATAATATATACATACATTTTACCCTCCTGTTTGAGAGAGGAAACAATAAATTAACAATAGTCCTCACTTACATTATTTTTTTATTTAAGAAAATCATATTAATACCAGTGAAAACAAAAGTTGACATGTAAAATAATGATTATTTTACTCCATTGAGCATGGTTTGGGGAGGAATAAACGAGTCACTACTTAAGGTTAAAATAAATTTTTTAAATGTTAATTCTTATTCAAAGTTAATTTTCTAACTATAACTATAGATCGTAAGTTTTCTATGTAATTAAATATGATTCTATTTATTACATAGATAATTTAGTCTATTAAGTATTATTATAATTATAAAAACAATTTGTTTAAGATACCTAACGGCATAGGATTAAACATCGTCCTTGACTAGTTGACTGTCTATGAAATGTTTACCATACCCTTTTTTTTTTGTTTACTATAATGTCATGCACTCTAATTTCACGTGTTTCAACATGTTTACTTGCAATTTTATATGACTTGTATAATATGAAAAATTGGTTGTATAGAGATCTGGAAATAGATTAAATTCTATATCATTTTGTGGGGTGGATCCTAATTTGTATTCCTTTTTATTTAAACATATTCGTAGATTAGATTTTTTTGAACTTCTATTATAGATCTTACTGAATTAATTGCACAACCCACAGACTATTGAACCATACTGTAAAATAGAATTGTCTAATGCTTGATAAATTGTGCGCACCATTTCAATGGAAAAGATTGTATAGGTATTTAACTTTTACATCTTAACGATGGTCGACGACAGATGTCAAATGTATAATTAAATCATATGGATATGTAAATTTCACCGTTGATGACAATCAATAATTAAATCTAAGTAGGTACTCTTACTTTTTTAATTATGACAATTAGAACTAACATCATTATATAAGAATGAATTGTTATCTCATTGACTAGCTGATCCTATACGCACTTCGTTGCCCGTGCAAAATGACAACTCTTAAAAAAATTGTAATATTGTTCAATCCCTTTTGGGTGTAACTCAGTCACCTTGGTTGTACAAAAATGTGTGACAGAATATCGAGTAAGCAATTCATTATCGGTGGATTTCGGACCCACAGATGAGCGGCTATGAGTGCAACTCAGCGTCTCAGACACCTTGGTAGGTAATGTGAAAAAATTCGATTTGATACATTCTTGTACATGATCTGCCCGATTAAGCAATGGCAACCAATTTACAAAAAAAAAATAAATACTAATTTCTACTAATTATTTCTCTTGTAAATAGCAACCATTTATAAACAACAATGTCCATCGTAAATCTGAAAATCCCTATTTGAGCAACTCTCTGGGTTGGACCTACCTGGTCCAATTGTGAATCTGAACCATCCAGAGAACCACTCAAACACACACAAAAAATTTCATCAAAATAGCCCCAGCCGTTTAGAAGGAGTTCAGTGACACACGGACAAACATTCGTTTTTAATTTATATATATTTAGATTGGTATAAAGGTTACATCTGTGATAGTAAAAGCGACAAAAGCAGTTTTATTTATATTCAACAACATTTTTTTACCATTAAACTAATTATGTATTGAACTAATTCTGATTTCTGCTTTTTTTTCCTACAATTTCCCCCCACGATTGGGTACCTAGAAAAAAGGAGTCATACAAAATTATCATAGTAAACATTTACAATAATGTATTTATTTTTTTCAAACCTTTTCAATGAATAGTTTTTTTGAGATGAGGGAGTTTTATGAATAAATCGAGTTCAAATGATACTTTGGAGATCATTTTCTCAATAAAATGTTAAACATTAGAAAAACTACGGACATGTTAGAAGTAAAATCTAAATAAAAATTGTAAATATATTTTATACAATAAATTTAATATGATCTATGGTCAATAAACAATTTTTATTTATCACGGAGTACAAACTCCATTTACGTATTACAGTGTTATTTAAAATACCAATATTTACCTAATCTGTATAATATATAAACGAGAGTGTCCTGAGTGACTGATTCCTAACACCTCAGAGCCAAACCTATTAAAGCTATCGATTTGAAATGTTGAAGGTAGATTAATATTATTATAATTTCAAGGTGTACTTAGACAGGATTTTACAACATTTTGATTTTAAGGGGTTAACGTTGGCAAAAAAACAAAATTTTAAGTGTAAATTGTATACCTTCATACGTAATGGTTGCTATTGGTTATAGGAGAAATAAATTCAAATAATTAGTAGAAATTAGTATTTATTTATA